GTGACAGGGTGATGCGCATATCATACAGTAGAGCCTCTGTTCTCGGGGGTGGGGGGGGGATCAGGTGTAGTTACTTCAGATGAGTCGGATGTTGAGTTGGAAGAGAATTTCTGAGCAAAGCATTCAACCTTATCTGCTGTAGACGTCAGAACTTCGAACTGATTGAATAGAGGAAGGATTGAGGACTTGCTACTGTTCTGCACACTCTTGCAGAGCCGCCAATAATCTCTAGAATGGAACTTGCAAGATGCTATATGTTGTTTCTTTCTATCAGCTGACTGTAACTTTCTTTGCTTCTTTAAGAACATGCTTGCACTTGTTACTAGCAGAGACAAAGAGACATCTGTTGCAATCAGATGTGTTGCTCTGGTACAGCTGAAAGAAGCGATTCCTGTGGGCTATAGCGACTGAGGATGCAGGTGATGACCAAGGAGATGAATGCAGTTTAACTTGGTATTTCCTTATTCGAATGAAAGCATCGATGCCAGCTTTCACCCAGGAGGAGACGTCAGATGCACATTTATCAACAGGATGATTAAAAACTGCATTCAAGGGACATCACGAAGGAAGACACAGAACGAGTCCCAATCTGCATGTTGATAAACAGAAAGATATTCTTTTTGTAGGAGGTTCTTGGCTGGTTGGGGAGCAGAAAGAGATGTTTACAGACACTACACCATGATCAGAGTTGCCAAGAGGGCAGAGCTGCTTAGTACAACATGAGTCCAGGATAGAGGTAAAAAGGAAATCTAGAAGAGAAGCATGTCTGTCAGGGTTACTGGGGAAATCCATGGGAAAGTCCACCATCATGAGAGAGTGAGAGTTTGGATGCCAGCAGGGACAATGACAGTGTTTTAGCCACCGGGCATGAGGAAAAATTAAAGTCACCAAATACAAATCTATATTATCAGAAATGCTATCTAGTATGCAACAGTCATGAGAGGAAAGGGAACAGTAGAAAAATGGGAATGGTAGACAAAGAAGAAATGGCTGACTGAGTTAAGTAGAGAGAGACAGAGACACATGTAAGAGTAGTGTGAAGATTCATGAGAGAGTTCCATAGCCAGCAGGAGATGTTCACAGACATAAACTCCCAGGCTATGCATGTGAACATTAGAGCCCTTCCCAAAGAGAGGAAGATAACCAGGAATTGAGAAATTGAGAGGATATGTGCTATGGAGGAGTTTTTGGAAGATAAGGACGCCACCTTCTTCCATGATGGGATTGCAATGCTTAAGCATCATCGAATCAAATGCATTAACGTCAAGAGGGACTATACTGAAAAATAGTGAAAAACTGTCTTGTTTCTCCAACTTCTCCTGGGTGAGGCTTAGAACTTTTCGAATGTCTTTCATATATAACAACAACAACAAGATCAGAACAATAGTTTTAACAAATCAATGTTTAATCATGACAATTCCTCGTCAGAAAAATCAGATGGAAATGACTGTACATCATCCAACAGATGTAAATTAGAAAAGTAATATTACTTACTGTCATGAAATGTTCTAATGTCTCTTCAGGTGTTGTAGCAGGCGGTCTGTTGTTGAACAGCATATCAGCAAGTTTCCTCTCCATCCAGGTCATCATGTAGACCTACAAAATTAAAACTATGTATTTAGTAGACCACCCATAATCTTCCTTTTAAAAGCAGTTCATGATACAAAGTGATGCAGTAGCAATATTATCAATTACACCTATTTTAATTTATATTTGCAATACAAGTTATTTTAATAATTATTATTAATCACATTATGCAATACTACTTAGATCAAACACAATAATCTATTGCAAACTGATATAATGCTAAAGGCCTTTCCATTCAAGTAATTGTAACTCCAGGGTCACAATTTATACCAATTTTAGTATTTACCATATTATAATTTTCAAAGGTCATAACCTTGAAAAAAAGACAACAATAATCAACTGCTTAGGGAGATTCATATTTATTGAAATAACAATGTATGGATGCCTCCTTTTTGTGCACTTAGTTTCATCTTTTTCTAGGTAATTGTTACTAAATAATTATATATTTTATTATATATGTTTCTTCCTCAGATTTATTTAAAAATACATAACGGCAGTAAACCAGCATGCATTTATTTATTTGTCATCAAGTCATGTGACAATTTTCTAGCCATGCCGATTATGTTTTCACAATGACACACCCACATAGCTTCTTCACCTATCCAGTAGTTGCTAAATATCTGTGATATTTGTTTATAAAAAATTCTAATGTGGTGTAGTGAATTGTATAAATATGTTGTGTTATGTATATTTAAATTTATTTAATTATGTTATCATAATGTATTATGAATGTTTATTATTTTTCACACACATAATAGTTGGAATATAATATGGAAGGTTTGGTTTATATGCATGGATTGATATAAGAATGTGTATAAAAAAACAAATACTGAATTTTCTATTAAAAATGGTATAAAAACAGAAAACAACCCTAGCTCAAGGAAATGATTTTAATGAAACTTTGCACTGCCCTCAGGAAGGGTTCAAGATACAATATGCTTCTAAATTGGTTTGGGTATTAGGTATTGTTTAAGGTGTATCTCAGGTACAAACACACATACAAGTTTAGAGTTTTAGTATTAGATAGATTGTGTGCCCAACTAACATCTCAGTTTAAAATGAAACTGGCTGGTTGGCCATTTTGTTTTATGGCTTATCAACTCCTCATGGGTCATTTAAAGCAAAAAAAAAAAAAAAAAAAAAAAATTGAAACTGTCAAACCAAGTAAAATATAAATTCTAAGTCATTTTTTTCTTTTTACTGTGCAACAGTTCAAACTAGTTTCTTTATTTTTATTGTTTTTATTACATTTCAACCAATATGGTCTTCAGGCTTCCTCAAGTGCATGCTGCATTGTCCCTTTATAACACCCAACAGGGTCCTAACCCAACTTTCTACTAACCAGCCAATGCCGACCTCACGTTGCATCTCTATTCTCGTTTGTGTCGGTGTGCACAAAAAAAAAAAAAAAAAAAAAATCAGAAAGGTCCACCGCATGTTCACAAGGAAATGAAAGTTGAAAATAATTAAGTGCAGTGGTATGAAATGAAGAATCAAACACTTTAGAATATATTTAGGTGTTTATTCAGGTTTTTTGCTCAATCTGGGTGGGTAGGTAGGGGGACACTTAGGACAAATTTCACCATATCAGACTAGGAGATTAGCTCTTCTCTTCCTACCAATTCTCTGCCTATCTCACCATCATGACACATGGCTGGCAACACAAACAGGTGGCATCAGAACAACCTAAGAGACAGTTTGTCAGACCAGAACTGACTACTTCAGTCCGTACTGTGACCGTTGATATAGACCAGCAGCTAGAAATACTCAATATCCAGTTTGTTGGCCCCAAAAGTATATATTTATTTATTCTTTGTTCCCTCTTGATCAAGTGGACGCTGTGAAGAAGACCTAACTTGAAAGACTATTTGCAAGACATAAATCATGAGGCACTTCAGACAGATAAAATCAAGCACTATCCCCTGCTATGTGTGTCCCAATCATAGTGACATACATATTTCAAGATAATTTGGGAATATCAGAAATGGGAAAATTATATTAATTTGAATACAAGATGAAACCATAAAGACTTTGTCAAAGAGAACTACATATAAGGATGCATGCCTAGCATACAATTACCTGAATTTTGATTTCAAACTACTGAATTAAGTGCATTGACAAAGGAAATTATTTTCAAAAAGAAATAGTGTACAATAAATGTCTTTTCATTCTTAAGCTAAGGATTTCTAAGAGAAATCAGTTTGTGATTGGGAAGATGGAGAAAATTGTAGCTAACGGGGGGTACACAAGTTTATACCTGATCAGTATCGGCTGGATCACCGTGGAGAAGGGGTACGATGTTGAAAGACCCAAAACCCCTAATGAATCTCGGCTAGAAACATCACTGATGTTGTGTACCAAAGCATCCAATAGATGTATTTTACAAAATACTTATGTAAGTAATCCAAGTTTAGAATTAAATTCCACATGGAAGACATTGCTCAGAAGAACAATTAACATATTTCATGTTAAAAAAAAAACAAAAAAACCTAATAATTTGTGTACTATCTCCCTTCAGGATATGGATGATCATGACCCTCCACCTCTTCCTATCATTTGTAACTCTCATTTTTGCTTCCTTACTATCCCTCCCAGTCCATGTTCTGTCTTTCATTTACATGAAGATTAGTTTCTCTTTCCTTCTGCCTATCTTGCTTTCAATGTCATATGTGTATTACATTCACCAAACCCACTTTCCTCATTATGCGCCCTAGAGAATTCTTTTTGATTCTAAGTGTTCTTTTAGTTTCCATGTTGATGACATTTTCTGTCCATGGTATTCTCAGCATTCTTCTGTAGAACCAAATCTTTTCTTGCCTCAAGTTTCCTCTTCATCTAAGAAGAAATTGTCCCACATTCACTGACATAATACATCTTGTTATATATGGTTGCTTTTATTCTTTTTTTAAGTCTAGCCTGAGATTTCTTTCACCTGAGCACAAATCCTCACCATTTGGCTTTGGGAGTTAAAAACTGTCCTTAATGATGAAAAGGACACACATAACTAAAAGACTGCTGGATGAAATAAATGTGGTACTTTGAATACCTTACACCTTTAATGAAAAAACAATTACAAGAATACTAACTCAGATAGCATAACGAATATTGAAGATGCATTTTAATACTAATTAACATTTATAATGACTACAATAAATAAGGCCAAAGAAGATACTGATAAAAACAACAAAGATGAGGATGCCAGCTCAAATTATTTATAGAATATTAAATTTACAATTTTTAAAAAACAATTTCTATTTATGAAAATGACAAGAGTCTTAAAATGATGGTCAACCAAACAGACTTCTGCAATGAGAAAAAAAAAGGAAATTATTTACCCTATAGTGCCATCTGCCCAACATGTAATGAAGGAATGCATCTTTGGGATTCAGCCTTAGACCTTCTTCAATGTGGTGCTGAAAGAGTAAAAACAGAATACATTAAAAGAGAACAAGTTCAACAAATAGATCAAGAAATCTTTTGAATAGATCAACAACAGATTTTCAAAGCAGGAATTTAAAAGAACAAACTAATAAACAGAAGAATATAAAAGAAAAATCTCCAATCACTTTAATTGTTAACAAATACTTTTGAATGAGTTTACCATATGGTGGCAAAATTCAAGTAATTTTCCAACTGTCTTGGTTATATTTTCTGCATAATTCGTCTAGGAATTTTTATCTCTACAATTAAATCTATTGTCGTATGCAAGAAAGAATTCTGTGTTTTATATCATTAAAAGTGAAAATACATAGGAGAAAACAAAAATAAAAAGAATATATTAGTAATCTCCCTTTACTAATGAGATAGCCTACTGAAATATAATGAGGTAGATTTGCTTATGAGTGTCAAGCAATGCCTTCTCTTACCTTAACAGAATATCTGAATGCAAAAAAACTGGAGCATATCAGGTTATGTGACTAAAGTCTCACCTTGTTTTATATTAGAAAATAGATGTATTAAATGTTTTGTTTTTGACTAAAGATATTTATTGCTTTGAATTTTTGCCTTCAATGATTGGCCTTTCTAATTCCTAATTATATGGATTGTAAACTTATCTCTGTGATATGATGAACATTGTAATGGGCTCTTTGAAAAACTTGGTTGACGAGAATGAGCAATATCATAAAAATAGCTGCCATCGGGGGGTGGGGGAGAAGAAATCAGGGATGAGTTTCACTTCTTCTCAGCAAGGGTTCTCAACATACTCCATCACTTCCTGTGAACCCTTGTATAAAGAACAAATGTTTCATAGTTGTTGAACTAGACAGACTTCGAGCCAAACTGCACATCTGTGTGCATATTTCCACTTTAAATAAAAATTCCCTTCAACAAACCAAACAGCCTAATAGCATACCGATTAGAGACACACTGAGTGTTAAACCTGTGAAATCATATTTGCCTTATATCAGGTGTTCTCTAAAAAAAAGTTTTTCAACCAATTGAATCCCAATTTCCTCAACATATTCCGGTGACAGTGACAGACCCCATATTTTTTTTGGTAACTAATATATAAGATGAGGCTTGTGTGATTAGTCTGCTACTGGCACCGAAATAAAACCAATGAGCCAAGTTCAAATTCCAGTTAAGTCTGTTACATTTACTTTCATACTAAAGCTCTAGGAAAAGCATCAATCCATCCCTTCCCTGCTATACATGGACTAAATAGTAAGGCATACTGGATTTTCTAGCCTTGAGTGGTAACCAGTATAGGAGAAGGAATACATTGAATTCAAAACTGTTGACAAGGCAACAGGAACCATGGAAGTTATAGCAATTCACAAATAAGAAAGAAAAAGAACTTTTGTACTAAAGCTGTTAATACTGTTTCTTAACTAGGTGTCTTTAATGGCTTTAGTAGAAAAATCAGTTTTGTTCTTTAATTCCAATGGGAAGATGTCAGACTAACACAGATATTGATGATTTAATATTAAAAAACACATAGATATCTTTTATTCTGACCTGAAGTAACCAATCCAACAAAAGCAAAACACTTGGTCAATAAAACGGTTTTCCACTTGTTCAAGTTTTATATCCTTACTAACACACATATATAATTCACACATGCACACACACAAAGAGAAAAAGTCAACTTAAAACCAATAAGAGCATCTCAACTAGTGTATAAATTAATTGCATCAAACATAATATAAAGTTAACGAAAAATGAGAAAAACTGCAGTTGATTGCAGAAACCTCCTGACGAGCGGACTGAACAATTACAAAAAGTTTGTCTAATGAACTCTGGAGTTGAGGTACTGAATACAACATCAATCATCTAAATGATAAATTTGTATTAATCCTATATAAGTAATGAATTATTTTGTTTATTAATCCAACAGATCTTATCACTTTAAACGTTATTTTAATGGATACCCATATTTGAGCAGACTGTTTATTTATTAAAAAGTATATTTATTTTCATCTACCAGCCTGAGTATTCAAGAAATCATATTAATCTTATTACAGAATCCATATTTTTCTTTACTTTCCCCCTCTTCATAATTTTTAATGCCTTTCTCTTGTATAGTTATAATCATTTATAATTTATTTACTTTGTACACATAACAGACATTAATTCCTGACCATTGACAATCCCTTTCATATTTTCAATTCATAATGTCGATTGAATGCAAAACTTGCTTAAAAAGAAATTAATTTTAGTTAAAAAGTTGCATAATTCTGTATTTAATCAAATTTCTCCAATGCTTAAAACAGTTTGTTAATTTTAGTCAGTTATATAAATGGTGGAGTAACAGTAAAGTCAGTCATTAGCAAAATTAAAACTTTGCTTCCCTATAACAGATTCAAATGGATTGTATGCTAGAATTTTTATCATTAATGCTTCATTTCTTCCCATATCAGGATTTGCTGTATCACTAAATATCTCAAAGTTTTGATTTGGTTTGGTTTACAGCATATCAACACCTCAATGGGTTATTTAAGGCTAACAAGATTTTTATTGCTGCTAATATTTAAAAAAAAAAAAAAAAAAAAAAATGCATTGCTGGTAATAAAACCTATTTTTTTTACACTTTCATAGTGTTTTGACCCAAATTTGGAGGTTAACTATTTGCCCATAGCTGGGACCCTAACAGATGCTACCACCCCAGGTCAGGGTGGACCTGGGAACACCAGCAATTAAGAGGTGGTTCCATACTCCTCAATACCTCCTTGCTGTTGGATGTAGTTTATCGTCTTACCCAGGACATCAAAGCTTTGACATTTAATAAATCCTACTTATGATAGCAAGAGCTGCATCAATAGCCAACAGAGAATAAAATTTAATAAAAATGATTTATAAAATTTCTTTGAATAGCAATTTCTTTATGTGCATTTGTTTTTCATATTTAAACCCAACAATTCAAGATTTGTGACAGAGATGCAAAATAACAAAAGAACTAATCCCAGAAGAGATGAGAGAAACTTATTTCTTAATAAGCTTTCAGTTAAGCAAATCCTCAAGATGACACCATGAGAACATGCAAAGGGATTAAACTGATAATGCTGCCAACCAAGATGCCAGTTTATTTTCATCCCAAACTCTGCAATCCTCTTCTCAGACATCTGACAGCTTCTCTTCTTTCATCTTTACTGCTTATCATGCATTAAAAATAAAAATATGACTTGGGGGAGGGTAGTGTGAGTATTTCAGATGCATTGTCGTACTCTAAGTAGCTGATTGAGAAACCAATTTAGACAGAAACTCATTCCATCAAGTCCCCTGATCCCTTGTGGATGAAAGACACCAGAGACTGCAACAAGCTACAATTGCATAAAAGAATGTCAATATCAGAATTAATAAAGTTCTTTTGGTAAGAAGAACGACAAAAATGTCAAAACAGAATTGGAATGATTAACCAATTTCAGTCTAAACTTCACCAATTTTAAGGTAACTCAAATTTGGCATTCTCTTTGTATACCATATATATATATATATATATATATATATATATATATATATATATATATATATATATATATATATTTATTTATTAAAGACATTTTTATATTTAACATTCTTTTTATAGATACAAGTATTTAAATAAATGCTCTGTTTATAATAAACAGTATAGAATGTCTGAAAATTTTCATAGAAAATATTCGTTCTTTGACAGGATTATAAGCAGTAAATTCGACCTTGTCTACCGAACGCTTCTTTGGAGCCGATCGGTAAGGCACGTCAGCGTAAATGACGGTTCCGATATGATGCAGGTTCGAATCCTGTCAAAGAACGAATATTTTCTATGAAAATTTCTGACATTCAGGCCGTAAATGTTATTTAATACTGTTTATTATAAACAGAGCATTTACTTAAATACTTGTATCTATAAAAAGAACGTTAAACATAAAAATGTCTTTAATAAATAAATTGTAGGACTTTTGTCCATTTCTTAATATATATATATATATATATATATATATATATATATATATATATATATATTGGTGAATCTGGAAATAATTTTAAATTTCGCTTCAACAATCATAAACAAAACAATACGTCAAAACAATCATTATTCCCCCATAGCTGAACACTTTAATCAATCAGGATACTCATTAGAAAACTGTAAATGTTTATTGATAGATTTTGATTTCAGTTCCACATACACACGCAGAAAAAAAGAAAAATACTGGATTTAAAAATTAAATACATATAAACTAGGGTTAAATAAAGACTTGGGCATTTTAAATCTTTATAAATATTTCAATAGTTAAACATTTTTTATAGATATAGTTAAAAAATTTCTTTTAAACAACATCTAAAATATTATTACAGTTAGGTTTACGTTATGAATATTCGAACACAGTGGCATTCCATATCACGTGACGTCCACATCTCGCGACGGACGTTACTTGTAAACAAACATCTAAAAACAGTTATATCTGAAGAAAGATCGAGATTCGATCTGAAATATCAAATATAAATAAATACTTTCATAAATATATATATATTCGAAAATTATAACATAAATATGTTATAAAATCACTACAAAAATAGCCATTTTGTTTCAACACCTCTGGTGTCTTATCAAGTGATGATGTTGAATGTAGAATAAAGGGTAATTTCAATAAAAACAAAATAAATAGAATAACATATGTATTTTTTCCTCAGTAATTTTATAATTTTGAACTTAATAGAGATTAAATTTAAATTTTAGAATGGGTAATTTTTAATTTCAAATTTTATCGTATAATTTAATACTTATTAGAATAAATTCTATTTTAGTCTAACCCCAACATTAAGGCATTAAATAGTTATTATAACCTTAGTTCGTTGTCAAGTTTTTTGAATTCTCGTATACTTGTATGTTAATTGGTCATTCCAGCTTATGTAACAGCGTTTCCCCTTGCTAGGGGTGGTTAATTGATTTGAACCTTTTAAAATCCTTTATTCTACATTCAACATCATCACT